CCTCATTTCCTCCAAGATTTCACAGATAAAAGCTGGGACAAATGAGGCCGAGCAAGATCAGGATATGGCCAAGACTGCAAATATTATGGATAAACACACAAGCTAGGATGGGCTGTAGCAGTTTACTTTTGTCTGAGTCTACAGGGAAGGGCAAGATTCTGCAGCTCCTCTTCCCACTCTGAGTTCATTGACTGCAAACTACTTTTGCATTCTTAACTTATTTTGCACAAATGGAAATAAGCCAGGACAGAGGGATAAAGTGGAAAAAGAAGAGAGAAACTGGGGTATTTTAAAAATAGCTGAAAAAGTGGGATGACAGATGATTAACTGAGATTTTCCCTGCCAAACTGGGACAGTTGAAGGGTATTGTCTTTCATGAAAAGTATGTGCTCTACCACTGAGCTATGATCTCTCTTCTTGTTTAGTTTGCCAATATTTTAAACCACTAAAGAAGTAGCATATCAACTATAGTACCATATAATCTTCTGGGGCAGACTTTAGCACTGTTACTTTTATGGGATCCCAGTATCCCCCAACTGTAACAGCCAGTGGAAGCCAAAAGTTATATCTGGGGTACCTTTTAATGTCACTAAAAAGAACCTCCCCGATGCTATTGTTTTTGCAATGCAGATGAAATCTATCCATCTCTTAGTCTGTATATTATTTTGCTACATGCATGAAGGTGTCCCCTGCTAGCAGTGTTCAGACCATACACAAAAATCCTGCAGCTTATATTTACAGATGTGCAACTAAAACCTGGGGGTGGGGGCCTAAAATTGCACTAGACAAATTCATGAGATGCTGGCACTTACTCATTCACAATGAGCTGGTAAGGCCAGAGATCAGTCCCTTCTAGAGCTTTAAAAAGTTATGTTTTTTGGACAACAGCTCCCAGAATGTATCAGCCGACAAGGTCAACCAGTAGTCCTACTAGCCATGCTGGTTGGGGGGATTCTCAGAGCTCTAATCTATAAAGTTGCTTTTCCAAGCTGTGATCCTATCATTAAAATTTACAAAAAGTTCTGTCTAATTGATTATGACCAGTTTAGCAGACTTACCTCAGAATCATTCTTCAGTCTCCCATATAACTTTAATATTTGTTGAGCAATAAATAATTAAAAAATAAACAGTACAATTCCAATTACCTGAATTCTTGTCCTTTTCATGACAGACATGGATGTGGAGAAAAGAGAAAGGCAGCTATCTATTTCACATTTTCAAGTAATGTATATACTTAATTGCCAGGGGTAAAAACGAAGCACTCGTCTCCCTTCAAATGATGAAAACATGAAGTGATCAAAATAGAAGTGGGGTTTTTTTTAATCCTCTAGGCATTAAGAGCTTAAACACAAAACACATGATTCATTATATCAAGCCAACTCTTAAGGGTAAATATTCTATGCGGGGAATTCATTTCTGTTAATTGGAGTTGTGAGCTTAATTCCCAGAACACTGTACAGAACAGAAAATATACCCTTTGTTTTAATATTGAAACAGAGAAGAGGCAGCTCAGTGGTCTAGAGAAATTTGATTATTCTGTCATGTAAGCAACAGGGTATACATACAATCTTCACACTTAAAAGTTTTCATTCCTTCAATCATCAGTTTTTAAATAAATATTAGAAAACTGCATCCAGACTTTTGGGGATCTACAGTGTATCCCAAACATCGGTATAACATTAAATACTGAAGTGCCGGCAATTATGACAAACATCTGTATAGCACCCCAAGAAAGTTGAAAAATGCAGGCAGCCATTCTTCATCCATATCAATAAACCAGCCTCAACAATTTTCATCTTCAGGAGGGCTTTTGTAAAACCAATGGATTTTAATTGGTCAGTCAATACAAAATCACTCCACAACACTTTGCATTACAAGAGGGATTGTTTGCACTACATGTGGTGTAGTGGTTTGAGTGTTGGACTACAAATCTGGAGATCAGGGTTCAATTCCCCACTCAAGCATAAAGACCCCACTGGGTGACATTGAGCAACTCACCTGCTTTCCGCCTCAGAGTCTGGCAATGGCAAACCTACTCTGATAAAACTTGCCAAGAAAATCTTATGGATGGACTTTTATCACACGGGGAAAATCCCATACAGAAACAGGATTTAAATAGAAAAAAACCCCACAAAAGCAGGTAGATTTTCACACGACATTGGTGTTAAACTGAGCTTAACCCGAATGGAAAGTAGTCAAAAGCCGCTTCTTTTTACTTCTGGAAAATCTTGAAAGTAAAAATAAGTGGCTTTTGACTACTTTCTGTTTGGGTTAAGCACAGTTTAACATCAATGTGTGTGAAAATCTACCCACTTTTGCAGGTTTTCCCCACCTTTTAAATCCCCTTTCTGTACGGGATTTTCCCTGTGTGATAAAGTCCCATGATAGATTCACTTTATGGTCACCATAAGTCAGAAATGACTTGTAGGCACACAACAATATCTTGTTAGGAAGAAAATCCACCCCATCTGCCAACTCTCCCAAGTAATGTAAGGACTAGCGTTATATCCAGGATAATCAAGGATATCCTAGGGTGTGAGATATAAATCATTTCTTTCAGGGGGAGAAGCCAGTCATGCCATCATTCCCGCTAATCAAAAGGTCCTGGTGTTAATCCCGAGAGCCTTGGCTCCACTCAAATACTGGAACAAACCCATGTAATGACCTACCCTATGTTTTCTATGGAGCCAGTGTGATGTAGTGGTTTGAGCGTTGGACTATGACTCTGGAGACCAGGGTTTGAAGCCTGGCTTGGCCATGTAAAAACCCGCTGGCCAAATCACACACTCAGCCTCAGAAGATGGCAATGGCACCCCCCCTGAAGAAACCTGCCAAGAAAATTCTGTGATAGGGTTCACCTTAGGGTTGTCAGGAGTCAGAAATTACTTGAAGGCACACAACAAGAACATTTTCTATCCTCCAAAGTACCTTTGCTTATTTACTTCCACAGTACAGCATGATGTTTTCTTCACTTCCTCACCTTGGCCCTGCTTGTCTTCCTGTACTCACCTCCACCACTAAGTCCACCACCAAATTTTACATCTTCTCCTCATTGTTCATACCCTTCAACTGCCCCAATTTGGCTGATTAATCCTTTGCCACTCCACTTTTTCAGCTGCTTTTAAAATGTCCCAGTTTCTCTCTCCTCCTCTCACTTTCCCCCTTTGTCTTCTGCTTACTTTAATTGCTGCAAGCTGAGTTCAAAGTGCAAAAATAGTTTGCACTCAGTTAACTCAGCAGGGAAGAGGGGAGAAGAGGGGCAGAATTTTGCCCTTCCTAGAAGGCTCAGGCTAAAGCTGCTGTATTTTAACACTTTCCCAAGCATTGGGAAACTAAGAAAACTTTTTTTAAAAATTAAAAAATTAAAAAATTCTAAGCTCTGCTTTGAATAGAAAAAATGAATATCTTTCCCAGCTCTTTTTAAAATACCTTTTTTACACACAATGATTTTAACACTGATTGGAGATGAAGTCCAACCAAAGTGTGATGT